TTTTTTGCCAGCAAAGAGAAATTTTGATTGCATTTATTTCAATTTCCCTCACTGTGGGAGGAAAGCTGGGGTGACAAAGAATAGAGAGCTTCTTACAAAATTTTTCTGTAGGTGAGTAAAGTGAAATTAAGTAGCACAGACCTATCTCTTACCAGGTGGTCTGCTGAGCCACTTTCTAGAAGCTGTGTGCTGGTTCCTGAAACTAGTGCCTTAAATTCAAAGCCATTTTCTGGGACTGTTTTAAAAACCATTGTTTAGAAGGGGCCCTTTTCCCCCATGTACTTTACTGTCACTGTTCTGTTTCTAAGTGTCCTGCAAGAGTATGACCAGCTGGTTCTTGTTCTAGCTGCACAGATGTGCTCGCAGAGAAGGGAGAGGTCCATGTGGCTCTTTGCAAAGGGCAGGGAGGGACGCCTGCTGACCAGCCAATGAGAGAGTGGCACAACAGCTGGCAAGTCGTAGCTATGGCAGCGGGAGCAGGATTTATCTTGAGTGATGTGCATCCCTTCAATTTAGAGGATGTTCATGGATATAAGTGCACTGGCTACAGGTAACTTATAGATACTGCAAAAAGTCATTGATATTCATGCTGCTCCCTGGGTATTTCCATAGTGCCCAACACCATAGTCCAGAGCATTGTCTTGTGGAGGAAACCCCCCTCTAATATTTTTTTATTCTATAAAAATACAATATACTTCTCTTCCATCTCTTAGTAGGATAGTTAAGAAACAGTGAAATTCTTGCCTTTTGAGAGAGTATCTGCCAGAAAAAATGGTATCTTAAATCTCAGGAATAGCATTTCTGTTTCCAAATGGAACCAGTAATATTAAGGGGATGGGGAGAGTCCACATCCTATGATTGGTCTATTTGCTTAGATAAAGATTGCACGCTAGAACTTCTGCAATGTAGACAACATTATGCTTCCTCAATCTTATCAGTTTACTAGTCATTCAATGTCACTTGCTTTTGTGTGTTTTAATATTGGTCAAATATCAGTTACTTTACCAGATGGTGCATTTGTGTGTGTGTGTTGCCAGGAGTCAGGATAAATCCTTCTCTGTAGAAGGTGCATTAAACCACATCTTCACTCGGGGCTTGCCATTTCCACATCCCAGGCCTGTGATGTGCCAAACTGAACTGGAGGGCAAGAGGGTTTCCTTCCAGGTTCCAGAAATATTTGTGGATAAAATTAACAGGTAAGTGTTCAAGTCCAATATCTGGTTTGATTGTGATTTATTCACCAGGCTGCATTTGGGCCATGCTGAACAAAACCAGACAATGGTTGAGTCCACTGCTAACTTAATCCCCAATCTTGCATGAATGATTAGTTTGCATCTCTGAAACAGGTAATCATTAAATGTTCCAAATTCCATTTCCTCTTAGAGGGAAAGAGCAAATTTGGTCATTTTTGTTTTTTACATGTTGGTTTCATATTTATGGTCCACTTGGCGTAAGGCTTCAGAAGAGAGAGGATGTTACTGTTCCTATCTACAGGAGTAGAAGAGTGAAGTTTTAATTACACCTTGTGCAGTGATTTGGGAGCAGTCCTGTAGTGGTTTAGTCTGTGCTAATATTAGTAAGGCTAGTTAGGATTAAAAACTATAACCAAGTTTTTAATTTCTCTAAATTGGTTCATATTCTGGAAAATATCCAGAGCTAACATGCTTTTGATTGGTGTCCTTAAATAAGCTTGTAATTCTAATAGTGGAAGTCAGCTGATACTTGCTAGGAAAGTCCTCCCCCTTCCACCAGCTGAAGTGCAACTAATCCTCAATTGCAACTCTTAACCCACACCCTTATGTCCTGCAGATGTCTTGGTAATGACTATGCCACCATGACTAAAGATTTTCCCTGTCCAAGTGGCTATTGAAAACAAACTTAACATTAAGATCACTTTGGCGAAGTCTTTAATTATAAACAAAGGAAAATGTTTTTATAAACATCACTGTACTTAGACTTGTAATCTGCTGTTTTGTTTTTAATAGGGGTTTCCTAGATAACAATTCAGATCATCCAGTAAGAACTATAAATGAAAAGCTCATCACTCAACTCAGCCAAACCTTCCCATTACAAAGGGTTGACTGCTCCCTTTCTCTCCTGCACCATGGCCACCTAAGCGCTGTTTCTCAGTCCAATGCCTCTTGGATCATTCCCAACACAGAGCAAAATCCAAGCTCTGAACCTATAGGTAAGGGAACAGCAAGAGGGGTCTTATTTCCTGGCCTTCATTTCTGCAGGGACATAGACCAAGCTGACAGAATGAAGGCTCAGGAAGGAGACCAGCTCTTGGAACATTATCATCTTCGGTCTTCCCTTCTGGTTTATGTTCAGGATGTGATACAAAGGCTGAGCTTTCTCCCTGGGACTCTGCATGTTCTCAGTGGGCCTGTCTTTAGGAAGTGTCGGATCTCTCCTCACACTCTGCCTGTTTTTCATGAGACTCTTTTTGTGTGTGCAGTTGATAAGGGTACAGAGGGCAGCTGTATCCAGCTGCTTATGGATAATATTAAAAATACTATAAGTTCTCTGCTCCCATCTCTTTTGTGTTTTACATTGAACTCCACAGTCGAGGAAGCAAAAAGCTCTGAAACCATTGAGCTAAATGATTCAGTCATGCCTGACCTTCAGCTTGATAAAACTCAATATTTCATCTGTATGAAAACGGACACTTCAGACTCCAAAGCCAACGGCTCTTGCGTTGGAGCCATATCAGCAGCTCCCTGCGGGCTAATAAACAGTGAACTGGGCATTGTGTTTGCATCAGTGAATCTTGACCTGCTAACCATGCAAATTTGTGGCATTTCTGACTGGCGAATGCTGTGGACCTTAGATGAGCGTTTCCTGAATCAGTTTATTGGAGGAGAGTTAGGACCTTTCAAGAGCTTTTCCCTCCATCCACCTTCCTATGTGCATGACGTCAGCTTCTGGGTTTCTGAGAGGGAACAGTTTGACGAAGTTGCATTTCACACCATTGCCAGGTGTGTGTCACAGGAAACCGTCGTGTCCATCCAGCTCCTTGACAGCTTTCAGCATCCACAAACTGGACAAACCAGCCTCTGCTACAGACTAACCTTCCAGTCCTGTGACAAGGCTCTTACTTGCCAGCAGGTGGCAGAGATGCAGCTGCAGTTTAGAAAGGAGATACAGCAATGTTTGCACATAACTCTTAGGTAGATCATTGTATGCTATTTTCAGACCTTCACCAACAGCACCCTTAATTCACTTTGCTGGGGGAAGCCTGGACTTCATATTGTGTGGTCTAAACACTGTGTGTTACTATTATGTCTAGCCAAATTCTGCCTCTTATAAAGGCCGTGCAGATTAATTTAAAATGTTATACCTGTGCCTTTAATTCTGCTCTCAAAAAATAAAGTCCAGCTGCCTTCCCCTTGTCTGACTGTATGTGATTGTTGAAATGCCAGGTCACAGTTGGTGTCTTCTTTTACTAGGTTCCTATAAAAAGGTGGAGTTGGAAGTGATTCTGCTTATTTGTGCTAAAGGTGGGTTTACATTAACTTTTGGGACAAGTCTGCCAAATGTTGCTTGATTATATTAGCCACTCTTATCAGGAAAACTTCAATGATTGCCTCTTACTTTTTAAAATGTCTGACCATAGAGGCTCAAGTGGTCTCACTACAGGAAATCAACACACATCTGAACCAAAGAGTGCCTTAGATCTGTGGCATCCCTTTCTATAGAAGGGATAGAGCAGAAACTACATCATCTAAGGCAGGGGTAGGTACATTAAGGGTTTTGAAGTTGGATCTTTTGAGTCTCTAAGAGGTGCAGCCCCTGCAGGGAGGAGCTGGAACCATGACACCCTATTTGATTCTAGTTCTTGACAGTTTTGTTCACAGTTTAGGAATTGATAACAGGTGCAAGACCATGAGTACTAAGGAGAAGGACACATGAACAACAAACCACAGGGGCAGCAGCTTTAGGAAGAAATCACTTGATTTCTAGTACTGGTAGCGTCATACTATGGTGCATAGCATAATCATTGTCTTTTACTATGTTCTCAGTAAACAACCTTAATTTGTTTTGAATCTTCCCAGGATTTCTCAATTTCATGAGGGGGGTAGTCTACTTAAGAGGCATTCTACCTGCACCCCTGTCCCAGGGAGACTCAGTTCCATGCTTCATGGGGTGCTCCTTGCACCTGTCCCCTGGCACAGACTGTTGTACACTTAGCACATGCTTCTGTGCACCCCTTTGCAGGGATAGACTTATTGCACAGCTGGGTGCTCTTTTTACACCCCCTTGCAGGGTTAGACTTACACACACTCTGCACCGTGGGGCATCTTTTATACCCTCTTGCATGACGAGAATTGCACAGTGGGGTTTCTCTCCTATGCAACCCTCCTCCCCCCTTGCATGGAGAGAATTGCACAACAGGGTGCTCTCCTATGTACCTCCTTGGAGGGTGAGAAGTGCATGCTCCATGCACAGCAGGGCGCTCTCCTATGCGCCCCCTTGCACAGAGTGAATGGCGCACATTGCACACAGCTGCGCGCTCTCCCGCGCCCTCCCTTGCACCGAGCGAATGGCGCACATTGCACACAGCTGCGCGCCCTCCCTTGCACGGAGCGAATGGCGCACATTGCACACAGCTGCGCGCCCTCCCTTGCACGGAGCGAATGGCGCACATTGTACACAGCTGCGCGCCCTCCCTTGCACCGAGCGAATGGCGCACAGTGCACACAGCTGCGCGCCCTCCCTTGCATGGAGCGATTGGCGCACAGTGCACACAGCTGCGCGTTCTCCCGCGCACTCCCGCTTGCACAATGAGAATTGCATACTCGGGGCCCGGGGGGGGCGCTCTCCTGTGCACCCCCCCTTGCACGGTGCGAATTGCACGCTCAATGCACAGCGGGGCGCTCTCCCCTGCCTTCCGGTGCCCGTTGCAGGAAGCGGACCGGAGCCCGGACGAGGGAAGCACGGAGCTCCCCGGGGCCGGCTGGGAGCGGCGGCTGCAGCCTGCGCCCGGGGCTGCCCGCACTAAGTATGGCGGCGGCCGGCCTCAGCCCGTGCCTCCCGCGAGCAGCAGGGGGAGCCCGGCGCGCTGCTGCCCGAGCTAGGCATGGCGGCCAAAGGGACCCGGCAGCGGCCGCGGGGAGGCGGCGGGGACCCGGGCCGGCCGCGAGAGGAGGGGCCGGCCCCGGCCCCGGAGGAGGCCAAGGCGGAGTAGGTGCCACGCGGGCGGCGCGGCTGAGGGCCCGGCTGACTGCCCACGGGCGGCTGGGGGGGTTGTCCCCGCGGGGTGCAAGGGGCAGGCACCGGGCCGGGAGCCCAGCCGCCCCCCGGGCACGGGAACCCAGCCCCGTCCTTGTGCAGGGGAGCCCGGCCCCCTGGGGAGCCCGGCAGGGACCGGGGCAGAGTACACACCCTACCACCTGGCGAGTGGGCTGCATATAGACGGCACACAGTAGCCTTAGGGCTGCCTGATAAAGAAATGAAGGGACCCATGCAATGGTGGTGTAGCCGTGCTGGTCCCAGGATATGAGAGAGACAGGGTGGGTGA